AGTTTTTTGATCATAGAACGTCTATGCTAGATAGACCAGGAGTTTCAGCTGACTTTTCATCAGTCTACTTTAAAATAAACAAAAACAAAACCCGAACTGTGATCATCAAGTAAAGTCCTAGATGCAGTGCTTTTCCCTACTGCTGCTTTCCTTTTTCATGTTATTTTCCATCTAAGAGTGTGAGCTCTTTTCTAATCTTTCTCCTTACTGAATCTACTGCAAGCCTTTTTGCTGTTGTTATTCCAGTTTTCCATGTGATAGAAATTTTACTTTGCATTTTTCCACAACTTGGAATAATTGACACCCGTATTTAAGGACAATACTTTTACTGTCATTTCCCTTATGAATTACTGTTACTTTTTAATCAAACTGGGGAGGAACATGGAATGGTAGGTAGGAAATGTCAGAGCTTTTTTCCCCCCAGATTCCTGAAAGATCTATATTTGTTATTGATTAAAAAAATCTTCCTTCCTTCCTTTCTGCGAGTCCTGGGACTTGAACACAGAGCCTGGGTGCTATCCCCGAGTTTTGTTTGTTCAAGGCTCAAGAATCTACCACTTGACCCAAATCACTACTTCTGGCCTTTTCTGGGTAGTTTGTTGGAGATAAGAGTCTCATGGAGTTTCCTGCCTGCGCTGGCTTCGAACCACAATCTTCAGCTCTCAGCTTTCTGTGTAGCTAGGAATATAGGCATGAGCCACCGACACCTAGCTCCAACAATGTTTTGTTTGAAATCTGTGTTTTTAATCTTTTTAAATAATTTGTCATTGTCTCCATTCTTTTTATATTTGGGATATTTTCTTATTTTCCTTGGGACCTGCCTTCTAAACCTGAATTTCATATCTACCCTTTCATCTCTCATTGACTTTGACCTCCTTGCTAGTGACTCTTCCAACAGCTGCAACTTCTAAGGCATAGCCTTTGCTTCAGTCATTTTAGAGCATCCATGTCTTTGATGTCACCCCTTGAGCTTCTCAGTTTTCTTTTCATCTATTAAATCTGCCTCCTATTATTGGAGATTCCCGTCTTTATATCTCATTTTATTCCTGAGATTAATAAAGCTTTCTCTTATTCATTTACTTTTTGTCTATCTTATACCTGCCATTACCTACTAAGACCTCTATACCTTCCTAGCTCTGTAAAAAGGAGATATTCTAATATTGTTTGTTTTCTTTATCTCTCATTAACTTGTCAGTATCCTAAAATTATTTACTTTATTATTCGACAAACACAGCTATTATACTCATTCTCTATATTTGGTAGTATCTTCTACTGTAGTGATATCCTAAACACTTTTATGACATCCGCCTCTAAAAATTATTTGGATTTTGACTCTATGATATTTTCTTTCTGAGACTATTTTCCTTCCTCTGCAGCCATTTTTGTTTGTTTCTTGCTTTCTTGTTTGTTTTAGGTTCCTTGTACCCTTTGGGTAGAAGAGGGGAAAGAATCTTAAAACAAAGAATGTTTATTCTGTTGTCTCACTCTCCCTCAATTTAATAACATACTAATTTAGATTTCCTTCCTTAATTCCGAGCTTCTGTTTCCTAACCTAAAATGAGATTTTAACCTCATACACATTTCCAGAAGGCTAATATAATAATACTTTGAATCCCAGGCAATTTTGTCATCTAAACTGAGTGGGTACTGAGGATTGAAGAGGGCATTATTAAGTAATTAGCAGAAGCTGAGCAACGGTAGCTCATGCCTAGCTACTCAGGCTGAGATTTGAGGCTCGTGGTTCAAAGCCAGGTGGGGCAGGAAAGTCTGTGAGAATCTTATCTCTAAATAACTACCAGAAAAACCAGAAATGGCTCTGTGGCTTAAGTGGTAGAGTGCTAGCCTTGAGCTGAAGAGCTCAGGCAGGGATAGTGCTCAGGCCTAGAGTCTATCCAGCCTCCACCACACCCCCTGCAAAAAAAAATTAGCAGATGTAAGTAAACCTATTCTGTGATAGTCACTTATTCGAATTCAATGTATGTAGTTCAGAGAGACTACTCTGAAAAGGACTTCTACATTTTTTCTACTTTCATTAATTGCTTCACCAAACTACTTACCTATTCTATTTTCAAAGATTTCCCTTTTTTGGTATCTTTTTAATTAGACTTTTCTTTTTTCTGTTTTTTAAACCCCATTTCACTGGTAACACATCACTGTCCAAGAATATTAAGTTATCTATTTCTTCATATTTTCCTTATTAATCCACAGTATCCTCTATTTTTACCCAATGTTTCTAAAGTACATTGACTTTTTACATGCTTGTTCAAGAACCATTGCCAAAGCAGAAGTTTCAGCTTGGAATTCAAGATATTAATGTAAAATAGAAAACTAATGTAAAATCAAAACCAAAACCAAATCAAACACAAAAACAAGTAGAAAAAATTTTTAGTATTTCCTCTTTCACAGTCTATAATTCCGTTGGAGAGCTGACCTTTTTTCCAAATACCTTTAAATCCATGGTCCTCAAGTATACCTGAGTCACCTTTAAAATTAAAATAAAACATAAATGCCCAATATGTTTATATTGAGTCCTGGTTACCTTAGTAAAAATATCTTCCTAAGTGAGTCTGACAAAAAGCCTGGTATGAGAAACATTGCTTTTACCCCTGTGTTTGTGTTGTTATTCACTATTTTCTCTTCATTGCTTGTTGCATTTCCTCTTAGCCCATTTTTGCCTCAGTAAGGTCCTTTTTGATCCATCCAGCTCTAGATGTAATTGTGTCTTCCTCTGTAGTGCAGAAGTAGTAAGCTTCCATTAAATTCAATATTTTTCCTTTCAGTCCCTAGACAACACATTTCTTCATGGCATACCTTATGTTATTTATCATACAGAAACCAGTTACTACAATTCATTGAACTTTGAAGTTCAAATGATTGACAATCATGAATTGTTGTTTTTTTTTTTTTTTAACTAATTTAACCAAAAGTATTCCCTAACAAAATGTACAGTAATTCCTAGGCTGCTAAACTGGGATTTGCTAATCATGCTATCTAGGAGAAAGGAATTGCCATCTTAAATGCCACTGTTGTTTTCAGCAGCAGATGAACTAATGTTAAAATAACTTGATAGTGAATTGGCACCTTAAACCCATCTTTCAGATGCTTTACAGATTGTAGATCTCTCTGTATTCATCACCCAAAACTGTAATATTGCAAAAAGTCACAGAATGTGCTTTAGCCAGGAATTGTAGGTAGTAAAGCATTTTTGAACAAATCAAAACAAAACAAAACAACAACAAAAACTAGTTCCTTTGCCACTGAGGAATACTTTTTTTCTTTTTTCTTTTTGGTCCTGGGGCTTGAACTCTGGGTCTAGGTGCTGTCCCTGAGCCTCTTTGTGCTCAAGGCTAGTGCTCTACCGCTTGAGCCACAGCGCCCCTTCCAGGTGTTTCTGAATAGTTTATTGGAGATAAGAGTCTCAGAGGAATACTTTCAATAAGTCTGTCTTTCTGAATGATAGAGCATAGAGAATAGTGTTGTTTCTATTAAGGAACAAGGATCTAAGTGCAGTAATTTCATGCAGTTTACAAATGACTCTATCTAAGAATAATGTAAAATTTTTGTCATACATGTAGCTTGGGAGCAACTTTTTTCTCCTATATTTTTTTCTAGGTATCCAAGTTGTGTTCTTTTTTATATATTGTATATATTTGGAATTGTATTTTTTCTTCTTATAATTTTTTAATACCTGATTTAGGGATACTTTTATCAGTTAAAAAAAGGAAATATTTTGTTTGAGACATGTTGAAATATATGTATTGTTTATTTATTGTCCTTTGATCTGGGGACTTATGCTATTACATTCTCTTTCTTTTTTTTTTTGCTTTCTGAATATGTGTGTGTGTGTTATATAATACCAAATCCTTAATACTCTGTACATTTCAGAGTTAAAAATCATTTCTAATTTACTCATCATGAAATAACACAAAGGGATGTATAAAACTATACATAAATTTTTCTCTGTTCATGAAAATCATACTAACTGGAAAACAGTCAATATAAGTGCTTCAGTTTTGGATTTTTATAAGCCATAGGTTTATAGGACCTTTATGAAACTATACACTCCTTTCTCTAACTTCTAACAGACTGTAGCAGAACCTTTCAAATCCTCTAGAAGCAAAGTCAAACTTCAGAGAACATTGCCTTGGTTAAGTTGTTCCTAGAAACATCTGTCCTCTAAAACAGGAAGTAGAACAAGAAATTGTTGGTAACATTTTGAAGATGACAGATGAATGATGAACATTTCATAGTCAGCTGGAAACCTCTGTGCCAGCACAGTAGTATGAACAGCAATAATCAGCAAACCTCTGGGAACTGAGGGCAGATTTTCAGGATTTGCAGAACTTTTTACAGTTTTCATAGGTATCTTCTTCTTTAATACTTACAAAACCCTGTGAAATGGATGATATTAATAATAAATTTTACTTTTAGATAAGTTGAGCTAGGAAGAGTGGTTTACTCTGTAAGTATCCACCATCTAAGTAGTAGTTAAAAATTTTCAAATCCTTTGATGACAGCCCACTGTACCTGAAAGCGTATTTCAGATATAAACCTGCATTTCAAAGAGCACCTTAAGAGCTATTAGCCAGAACAATGGCAGCAAGGCATAAGAAAGGATAAGGTCCATTTCTAAAGTTTTCCATTTATAGATAAGCAAAGTAAATACATTTATACGTACAACATGGACTCTTTGAAGTAAAATGATACACAGTCTCAAAATATTGCTATTTTTTTATTTGTAGCCAACTTTTATTTTTATACCTAGAAAAATACATGGAGTGTTTAGGACTTAATGTGCTGGGCAATTTGCTACTTTCATGATAGTAACATAATCCCGAAAGCAAGCACGATTATTCTGTACTTTTTTCTTAAGTTTTATTCAGCAATAAGACCATAATTTTTCATATTTAAGGAAGTATGAAAAATTTGTCGAGTTTTGAAAGCTGAATACATGTAGCGTTGGATCAAGGCACATACAAGACTGGCCAAAGGGCGTACAATGCACTTTGGTTTTTTGTTGGAAAAAAAATGACAACAAAAAGTGATATGGTTTTTAAACAATTGTAGCTTACAATTCAGTAGGAAGCGATAAGGAAATGTTACAAGTTCATTATGTAATATTTGGAAAACTGTGACAGTAATGGGCAGTATTCTTGATCATTGTGAAAGTAACTTGGACATTTTATGTACAGTGTTAAAAATGTCTCACATAAAACTGATCTAAATTTGATTTCTAGTATTTATTTTTCTTTTGAGTTCTCACTTCAGAGCACTACTTTTTCTGGATTGTCGAGTGGAATTGCTTATGGTTATGCTACCTTTTTAATAATGCATAAGCTTGCTCTGTGATATCTTATAATAAAAACATCATAAATACTAACAGTTTTGTGTTTACAATTCACTTTGTAAAAATCAAGATGGTATAGATGAAACCAAAATGCATTTCTAGTACTTTTGTTTATTACATGTACAAGTCTAAGTTTTCATGTTTTTTTTCCTAAGTACATATTCCTCCCCTAACTCAGAAGCATATTTATATTGTTGTTTTTGTGAAGTCATTTATTCTTAAAGCTTTATTGATAATGATTTTAACAAGACTTCACAGTCCTTTATGCCAGCTGATGCGTTCAGTTCAGAAGATTTGCTTAACTTTCTTAAGGATATTTAATTTGCCTAGAGCAAAAAATGGAAATATGCAGCAAGTTAGATATTGCCCATTACTTCACATATTTTGATTTATTGAATACCACTGGGATAATACAAATTTAATAATTAGAACATTATTTCATAGCTAGTTTTGAAATTTATCTTTTTCTCATTCAGCCAGTTTGTTTTTTTACATTTTATTAATACCAAAGTGAAAAATGGCCTGTGCTTATACTACAAGGATCTCATGTGAACGCAGTCCTGATTGTTCAACACAGCAAGAAAATTCACTTTCACAGTCAACAAGTCATCTTACTCAGTAGAACACAAAGTAAATGGTTTATAACTTCAATATTTGCAAGGAAAATACAGTACAAATTACTAAAAAATACTAAAATATAGAATTGTGTTCAGGCATCTCCACTACATCAATCGCAGCAGTAACCTGAAATTTGAAACTTTTAATAAAAAGTTCTTAAATATAAATTATATGGCAAATGTACAGTACATTGCTTTTTTTTTTTCCAGTCTCTTTTTCCAGTGTTTTGCAGTAGAACAGGATTCCTACCATCACCTCCCTTAGGTTTAAAAAACCTGAAACATAGTCTGCTGAGGGTCTTTCAGCATCATGAGTGTGAGTGGTCTGAGTCTGGAATGCCACTGTCTCTGTAGCTTCGGTTACTACTGCTTTCACTGTGATTGTTTTTGTACAGACTCATTCCATTAGGAGGATATATGGTATGTATTACATACTCCTCCTTGGAGATGGGTTCATTGCTTATTGGTAACATCTGAAAAGACGTTTCCCTGATTTCCAGGATAGAATTGTCCTTCTTAGTGCCAGCCTCTGCATAGTCATCCTTTCTTCTCCTCCCTTTGCTGTATGCACAGTTCCTTGAAAAGAGAGACCCATTCCTATGAACATACCAACACACTAAAGCCAGAAGGGCAATGGTCACCAGGGCCACAGCCCCGCCGATGATGGCAGCCAAAGGTAAATTTGGATTTTTGTAAGGTTCTTTCTCTTGCTCTCGGTTGAGGGTGGTTGTAGGGTTGTACATTCGAAGAGGCGCAGTTTCGGTCTCAATACAAACAGGAGTTTCATCAAATAGGTAAAGGTTACTGGTTTCCATGGGAACCATGCATACTCTGTAGGGCGAATCAGGCTCCAGGGCTGTGACCAAGTATTCACTGCGTTCCCCAGTCACGATGGTTTCTGTTATAGATCCAAAGGCTGGGCTATGGCCCAGCTTAAGCCAGCTGAGTCTTAAAGCAGTCATAGGTAGAGCCAGTTTCCAGGAGATATGAATTGTGTCAGAGGTGACGGACTTCACAGTAATTGTAATTGTTTTTCTCGAGGGACTCCCCGTAGTTCGCTGATCCTTAGCGGCCTTGGGGTTCTTAATCTCTGGTTGTTTGGTCACAGGAGCTGACCACTGTCCTTGAGCAGGATACACGGTGTTGGGTGCCGCAGTGGTTATCTGAATGGTGCTTACAAGCCCACTATCTTTACAATCAAACAGTTCTGCATTGAGGTCCTTGATAGCCATTCCCCGAACTTTCTCTGGGGCTTGGCACATGAGCCCACGCACGTTAACTTTCACAGGCAGGGACTGTAGCCAGTCCCGCACCCACTTCATCTTACACCCGCAGTACCAGGGATTGTTGCGAAGAATCAGTTGGGTTATGTTGTCCAGATCGTCAAAGATGCCCTGAGGTAAATTACTTAGGTTATTATTGGACATATCGAGTCGGTACAGCTGCCTTAAATAAGAAAAGGCATTCGGGGGCACCCGGTTGATATGGTTATCTTGAAGGTAAAGCTTCCTTAGGTTTGTGCCTGGAAGGTTTACTGGTGCAGCCGTCAAGGAATTCCGTACCAAGGACAGCTCAGTTAAGTTCACTAGGTTGAAGAAAACTTTGTCCCCTAACCCATGATTGTTCAACAAATTTCCATCCAAAACCAGGCGTTTCAGGCTAGTCAGACCTTGAAGAGACGGCGATGAAATAGTAGATATGCGATTATCATCCAAGCGCAGCTCCTCGATAGTCCTGGGCAGCCCCCAGGGGATTGTGCTCAGGTGGTTCCGGGACAGGAAAAGAAGTCGGAGATAGTTGCTGTCGCGAAATGCTCCCTCTTCGATGCTAACGGCAGAGACAGAGTTATCATCTAAGTGTAATTCTTCCAGATAAGGAATTTTGGAAAGCGAATCATAAGTGATAGTTCTTATGTTATTTTCTTGCAAGTGCAACTCTTTTACATACTTTGGAAGATTGGTAGGAAATTCATCGAGACTGTTGTGGTACAGGTATATTCTTTCTACTTTCAGCAAGTTTTTTAAATCTGAAGGAATCCCAGCATTATTTATTTGGTTGTTCTGAAGGTAGAGAGTTGTAGCATCCTCAGGTATTCCTGCTGGAATGGATGTCAGAAAGCGATCATTACAGTAAATGAAACCCGCATCACAGCGACACACGGATGGGCAGGATTTAGCCATAACGGAGAGAGGTACAACTTGTAAAAATAGCCCAATTCTAGTCCCGATGAGGAAGAGGCTCCAGGCTGGGCTGGTCATGGTCAGCAGTGTTGAGGTCCTCACACAAGGTAGCTTCTTTTCACCTAAAATAAGAATAAGAATGACAGGAAACAATCAAGCTTAGCACACTGAGCAATCTTTATAATATAGTCCCTTTCAATATCCGAATCTGGGGGGGAGTGGAAACAGGGACATACTAGGGTTTATTGCTGGCTGAAAATAAGCATAATAACACAAATGTGGTGGTTTTTTTTTAACCGTAGGTGTTTCTGGTATATAAATTAAAAAATATTGTGTTCTAAATGTATTTAGACTTTGAAATGTTCATTGTAATTACAGTTTTATTAAGTAATCTACAACATTTCAAGTATATTTGCCCTCCGTATTACAGCTAATGACTAACCAAGCTTATGAGGTTTGCAAATTGTCTTGATAGTCATAATAATTGGTGTGTCAGAATTTAATTTGTTATATTTAAATATGCTTTTATTGTTCTTAAAAATCAAAATTTCCTATCTACTTTTTTTTCTTAATTCAATACTACACAGTTATAGAAATGTGAAGGAAAAAATTGTGGGGGTTTTTTTCTGATGAGAAGTAGTAACACATCTTGACATCTTCAATCTCAATAAAGCTGACCATTTTCTTTGATTATTAATACTATCCTTTTTTTCTTGCATCATTAGTATTAAATGTTGTTAAAATATATTTCTTATAAGAAGAAGGAATCTGTACAACGATCTAGCTAGTAAATCCAGCTGATGGAATGGACAATTCCATTTCATATTAAGTTATTTATTCTGTTCTGAATTTGTTATGTTTCAGACTGCATGATTTACTAACATTACATTTTTCATTATTTTCTATCTCATAAGATGTTTTTTCACTGTTCAGTTACCTTCCTCTAAATCCTAGCCTAAAATCTGATTTAACTTTCCTCATGTAGTGGACAAATATGGATTTATACAGATCTATTGTGTAATATAATCCCTCCTGTATTTTTAGATACTAATTAGCCTTTATAATTTTAGGCATGAAAGTAAAATACTTTGTATTTTTCCTACCTTATAGAATGATGTGAGTAAATTTTGCGTGGGGTGAGAGTCCAATGCACGTATATTATTTTCCTGGTGAGGGGCTGGGACTTACAAACTCTTGTTTAGTCCTTGGAAATATTCTTCACTGTTTATTCAAGTACTCCTATGCTGCACACACCTCTAGATCAGGCTCGCTGTTGTCAATGAACATTCCAGCTGTGGTTCAGCTTGGTGGGCAAGCACATGAAAGTAGGGGCCAGAAACAATTCAGCTTCCTGTTACTATGCAGGACGCATGGCTTCCTATGTTTCTTTCTTTCTTTATTTTTTTTTTCTCCTCCTTTCTGATAGAGTTTCTGTGTGAAGGTTTCTTTTGTGTAGCTTAATTCCCTTAGTGGAAATTGCCCTCTTTGAAATTCTGATTGGCTCTTCCATGCAATGTGGTCAGAGATAGTAACTTCAGATCCTCATGAAGAAAGCCATTCATGATGCTAAGGCCTGTATAGTAATAGGTTTTTCAGGCACTTACCCCCTACCTTTATTCCCATCCAGGATTATCCAAGTATAAACTTTGTACAGTAGTTACATCCTACATCCTGAAGTATGATTACCTGCTGTGAAAGAGTGATTTCCAGCTTTTGCTTCTTGCTGATTTCTCAGAATTTCTGGTCCAGTCACGTTATAGAAGTACAGGTATTCTCTTTGAAGAGGTAAAGGAAATAATTTGAATGTTCTTCATGGAAGGAAAAGGAAGCACACTAAATTTCCTTTGTATTTCTCTTCTTTAAAATAGAGGAGGACTGAGCATCTCCTGTAAAAGTAAAAGGTTGCAATGAACTATTAATAATTAATTTTAACACACTAAAATACCAATTCTATATTTTTAAGCAACACATTTTTCACCATAATTGCTGATAGAAAGCAACTGTTGTCTTTTTTGTTTTTATGCTTAATATTTTACTCTGTAGGTTAAGTAGAAACAGTAGCAATTGTCTTCCAGCAGAAAATTTCCCCTGTTAACTGATTCTTAACATTACATTGAATTAGACACAGAGGCAAAGCTTTATTCATGAGGCAGTAAGCTCCTTCCATGGCCTTCCAATTCAGGCTAATCTCTATAAGGCCACTTTAAAATCTAGGGCATTAAAATAATAAAATCTTTTAGAAGAGGCAAACAGATATATGTCAGAGAGGTGAGCAAATACACATCAAGGACTTTTGATAAAAATGCCATGGTGTTTTTGGACATTTATTTTTTTTCCAGTCCTGGGGCTTGAAATCTGGGCCTGGTAGCTGTCCCTGAGCTTCTTTTTCTCAAGGCTAGTGTTCTACCACCTGAGCCATAGTACCACTCCTGGCTTTTCCTGAGTAGTTTATTGGAGATAAGTCTCATGGAGCTTCCTACCTGGCTAGCTTCAAACCATGATCCTCAGATCTCAGACTCCTGAGTAGCTAAAATTACAGGGATTACACCCAGCTTTGGATATTTTCTAATGTCATTTTTATGTAATCACAAAACCTACTATTTAGAGTTGAAAAGATTGTTCTAATGCTTTAAGAGATTTTTAGATCTTTGAATTTGCTCAGTAACTGTTTGATTCTTCCTGCAAATGTCAAGTTTTCCAAATACAGAATGTGGGTTCACCTTCTTATTTAGGGTGCTACTAAGGACTACCTGGTGATTTTGAAACTCTAGATATTTGAACATGAAATTCATATCTCATTCTTTTGTAGAATACTATTATAGTATGTTTTTAGCTCACTTAACTTGAAAAATGTGCATTTGGAATTGAAAGGGCAGTATTTTGCTTTATATCCTTATAGTGACTAGCTAGGAAGTATTTCAAAACCAATAGGGGCATTTTTCATAGGCTTAAGCATAAACAAGCCTATCTATGTGCTTTTCATTTTTGAAAAGCATCTTTTAGGCTTGACTGAAGAGAGAAGTGATTGATAGTGTTTTGTCCATTATCCTTGTCTAATATTCATCGAGGTTTTAGGGGTTGGGCAGGCAGGTAGTATAATAAACATCAATAATTTAGGGTCACCTATTCAGGTGTTTTCTGTACATGTAGAAAACTGAATATTTGATCCCAAGATAAGGACTATAGTAGCAATTTGCTTCTCTGCCATTTATAATGTAGTCAACATGGATAGCATCTGTTCTAGACTTCAAACAAGCTACTGAAAGTGTATGCTGAACAAGGCCATGTTTTTCTGATTGTTTTTTAAAAATTTCATTTCCTCTAGTTTGCTCCTAAATACAAATGCTGTCATACACTATATTAACAGAAGGAAACTTGAAAAAAATATATAAATACATATAATGTATCACTTAGGTAATTTGAAACAAAAGCAGCAAGTAACAGATAGATAAAGCAGTCTCTAGTGAATACTGCAAAATGCTCAGAGAGGAACGTTTAGATGATGTATTGTTAAATATGGAGGTTTTACCCATTAGTATTGTATTTCAATAATACATTTTCTTGTAAACTGTTGCTTTCTCTGTGTATGAAAATGAAAAACCCGGCTGTTAAAGTTTTAATTACAATATTACTTTAAAAAGTTTTTGCTGAAAATGTTTTCTAAGCTTTATAATTTATCCAATGTATAAAACAATGTAGGTTAATTTAAGGGAATAACTAAATTACATTAAATGCTAATTTAAAATGATTAGAAATGAAACAAGTGAGAACCTGCTTAAAATTACCACTAATTAAACCTTAAAAAAAATCTTTCAGGAACATTAGTAAGGCAAGATAAATATACTCTAGAATTGAGATGATGAATTTGCCAAGTCAGGATTGTTGATTGCCCTACTTGAGGGCACAGCAGAGTATGTCAGAGATGCTCATCACAATGATAACCAGAGGTAAAATAGCTGCTTTTGCAAGTTGTGAGCTACATATATTTCACTAAATCAGATTCTAAAAACATATGCATTGATTTTCATATTTTTAAGCTAAAGGAAGAAAAAAATAAATTGCTGTGCAAAGAAGAGAGATCAATTTATTTTACCTGCTCTATGTTTGAGAAATTGCTTCTACTATTGTTAGGTATGCAAACTCCCATTTGCCAGTCATACAATAGTGGTAATAATGTAGGATTAACAGAAAACCTCAAATCTCATTAATTTCTTGGAAACCTGTCATTCTTTCCTCCTCAAATTTGTTTTAAAACAAAAGGCAGAAACACTAAACAGCTTTGTTACGAAAGAAGGGTACTCCGCAATGAAGATTCTGCCTGCCAGCAGCACTTACGTGTCCCAGCAGTCTTTTCTTCAGCTCAGAACAATTCATGTTTGACTGTTTTATTTCTTCTCTATATTTCAAACTATAGTGCTAACTACTTTGAGGTTTTCGTTTTGTTTTGGGATTGGTTTTTGTCATGTTCAGGTGATAATGAACTTTCCAAAAATAAAAGATCCAACTCTCCTCATATTTAGACCTCTTCCTTTCCTAGCTGGATCTACATATCCACACACAGACATTATAGTTGAATGTGAAGGATAAAAACAAAAGTGACCCCTACTGGCATGGACCCTGTGGCCAGGTTTTTACAACAGAGACTTCAGAGCTTTTCCATCTGTACAGGCTTGAAAGAGGCCATTGCCTCTGAACAAAAAGCAACCAGCCTTTTAGAAAAATATTGTTAATGGGGTAATGGGGAAAAAGGACATAAATGGAGCCCTGCATATTTGATGGAATATTTAAAATTATTTTTTATTATTAGTAGCAAAAAGAAGAAGAGCATGATCACCTTAGTGATGAATCAAAATTATAGTGGGATCTTTCTATTCTGCTTCTTTTTAAAATAGAAATTGTAGAATTTAATTTAATATGTTTCATTTATAATGTAATCATCAAGTATGATGTCTGTTTTTCGTAATATATCTAAGAAAACATTTAAATAGATATGTATGCTATCATTTTGAGGTATCTTAGGAAAACTAATAAGAATAGAAAATAAGTATTTAAATAAAATCAGGAACTTGAGACAATATATGTGTTTATATGATCCTTCTTTGCTAGTACAAAATTTTGTAGGTGTGAATATTGGAGAAATAAAGAAATTTCTTACATTTAGAAAATATAACTTACATTAAGATGAAGTTATATGAATCTAAGTGCTAGCTTCCTAAGTCTTTTATTTAAAGACCTTTTATTTAAATTGATTTTGAGTTGACTTGTTTGATCATTATCATTTGCATTGAAAAATATTAAATCAAATGCAAGTTTTTGTTTCATTGTATTGATTTGACTTGTGAATTTCTTAATGCCAGAAACTTAAGAAAATATTAAATCTAAAAATGCAATGTCCCATATGAACTTCTAGTGCAAGTTAATTACATTATTTTTAATAAAATCTTGAAATTAAAGAAAGTGCTTGCTTAATCAGAATTTTCCAAGTTTGTGAATCCTTCTAGCAAAACTGGAGTGTATACAATTACAATCTAGAATATTAAAAAAGTAATTTAATTATAAAAGTTAAAATTGCTGATAGATCAGCCAGACAAATAACTTGTGAATGCTGTCTTTGCAACAACAAATTGTATTTCAAGTAAATGACATATATGGTTAAACTGAAAAACTGGAGTACATCAGATTAGTTGATAGTGACAGCAATAATGCTTTCTAAGCAGCCTGTCTGGTAGTTAAAATTTCCACGATCATCAGATTTCAGGAAAGTTCCACTTCTTTTGTCTAATGCCAGGCAAGCAGAAGGACCTCTAACTCTCCTCTTGAGAGTCATGAAGTCGGAAGGGTTTGCTGAGAGGCAGAGAAGCAAGTGTGCTTTTTCCTATTGGCTTTATCCAGACGACTTTCTAGCACGACGAAAGTTTTGTTTCATTTATGAAAAATAGGGGATAAAAGTTCCAAAACAAAGGCTTTTTGCTTTCTCCTTATTATGTTACTTGTTCTTTCCCTCAGTGAGTTTATAATAAATGCATCTAATTCTGTTTCATTTATTTTGGCTTGTAAAGTTAAATCAAGCATCCTTAAAACTAAAAGGTAAACTGGGATGTTATCTTTCATCAGAGTGAATGTTCTTCTTTTATAATACGAAAGCAAGATTAAATGAATTAGAGAACCAAGACTTGTAGGAAGGAATAAGATATTAATTTAGAGGGTAGTGGAAGTAAGTGGTAGAGGGTGGAGGCAAGCTCTCTTGCATTAAAGCATTAAAGCTCCATGCTTTAACTCGGTGCTGACTTTTGAGCAAGTGAAGGTAGAAGTGTGTTTATCTTTGTTAGACCATAAATATTTTGCCTCTGTGAGCTTGAAATTCCTCTTTCAGCATGTAAGTGTAATTCTATTTTAATTTTGAATATTTAAATTTCTGCATGCTATATATTTGAGACAACTGGGTTGCATGTTCTGTGCTGGTTAGTGAAACCACCTAAAATCTTAAATCACATTGTTTTTCCTGTTCAAGTAGGATACTAATGATTTAAACCAGATGAAGAAAGTCAACAACACATAAACTGATCAATCCACAGTGGAGTGCACACTTTAAAAATGGTGTTAAACCAAATGTGGTCTGTGAATTTTCTCTTCAAAGTTGCCACAGTAATTTGTGCACATATAAAGAATAAAGAGAAAGAATAAAGAACAAAAGCTGTCATTGTCTCATCAAAGTGAGAGTAATTTCTTACTCCTCTCCTTTAAACAGATGAATACCTGAAGAGAGCTTTTTATACATTCCTGACAGTTGATCTGGGGATAGGAAAGATTATGCATATTCAAAACAACGAAACTTTAGCTATTGCATAAATTAAATTTTGTTCCTTTCTACTTGAAATCTTTTCACTAAAGTTCTAATTGATAAAATGTGGTCCTGAAACATGCTGCCTTTTATAATATAAAAAAGCTTTAAAACTGTCTTTTATTATGATACTTAACCAGATTTAGTGATATTGTTCTGTGAACTGAAACTGCAAAATGCTTTCACAAATGTGTATGCCTATTTTGGTGTTTGAAAGGATGATGCCTTTTTCCAAAAAATGTTCATCATGTCTTTGTTGGAAAATGGTTTGTGGAGTTTTGGTAGCTTTTTGCAAATGGTGGATCGTTAGAAGCTGAGATGCATCCCTTTTAATGCTCAGGAGAGAAAATGCCGTTTTGAGGGTGAATATTGCTGCGAGATTTACTGTAGAGTTTTGCCCGCTGGGGGGTAGTACATGCTACCAGAACACTGCTTTCAGAAGCCGCAAGTCAGATGTTGGCTGCTGCTGGCCAGTTTTTCTCTGGTTTAATTACAACAAAGCCTCCCGTTGAGAAGAACAGTGAAGGCCTCAGGGGCAAAAGGTGGGGGGTGGGCGCAAAAGTGGGAATGAGGGAAGAATGATGGGGGGGGGAGGAATTGCAGCTTTTAAGAAATTTACTGAATCTTGTTTCTCTCATTGATTTCATTTATGGTGCTTCTCAATTGCCACGAAACAAGTATTTATAATGCTCTTTAAATGAACTGGTACAAGTAAGGGAATAAATAAAGGGGTTTATTCAGAATTTTTAGGTTAGCTGTGGGTCTTGCCATTAATCACATTCTTTGTTAAATAGCCCACCCACCTTAAAGGATGGGAGGGGGAATGTAGATTGACTAAAATGGCAACTCTAAAACAAATAATTTTTAAATGATCAGAGTTAATTTAATATTGACACAGACACTGGCATATCAAAACTAACCAGCAAGAAAGAAGAAACATTCATACAACATTAAAGCAATGAAAATTCTTTGCTTCTGATATTTGGAAAGCTTAGAATTGTTAAAAATAATCCATGGAGAGGAGAAAGCCTTAGGATGTTGTATGGTCAAGAAAGTCATCTCTCACACACACACACACACACAAATCTCTTTGCCTTACACTTGCATGTTTAAAGCTGATAATTGCAATTTTTCATCTGGATGGATTGTTTATTAGGGTCCTGTGTCCCTAGGCAGTAGATGTTGAGCATAATTGGAGTTTCTATTTGATTGGGTAATATAGTCTTGAGAAGAAACTAGGGTAAAGATAATTAATAGCTTGCTAACAAAGTCTGACAGCCACAAGATTTCAACCAAATTTATTTCACACTGCTTCATTTAGCTCTGAAAAAGTTTTGATAGAATTGGAGGCTTTTTAATTAACACTTGAAAGCAAAAGAAATCTACCTTCTATTTTGCTGCCACATTTAGTTATGACAAATTTCCTTACTGTTTTTCATATTTTGGCTGAAAACTTTGCTGCCCGATTACATATTTCAAAAACATTATGTTTAGAAAGTGTTTTAATTGGGCATTTTGAATCTAAATGTAATTGATTTTAGAAGGGAGAGATGTACAGAGAGATGTACAGAGAAATGAAAAGCCCAATTAATAACTGATTGACTAAGTACTCCTGGAATACAGTATTAATGAATTCATTGTTTATTCATTCACAAATATCTTTGCTTATCCTTGGACTGATGTATTTTGTTTCTATTTTTTTAATCAATCTATAATATTCTTAGTTAAGTGAATGCAATCACATTTTCATAACTTTTTAATTTCAGGCTAGTAAGTAGACATATGTGCATATATATGTGTGCTAAGTTGTGTAACTAATCTTAAAATTATAATCTGATATTAATTTTTGGAGAAATCGCAATAATATTGTGATACTTTTAAAGGATTCAGGTTTTTCTTTACTCATGTATGAAGAGATAAATATCAGTCATCTCTCAATCTGAGTCTGGCATAAGTGATCTATCTTAAAGCAGACAAATTTATTCTTTATGTTTGTACGAGTCAGGATATTCTCATGCAGCTAGGGGTAAATGAAAGGAATTGCTAGAACTGAAGCACTTTTCTGCTGGTTTTATTCCTGATGTTTCATGCTAATAACATATATGTGCACTTTGAAGCAGATAGATGTAACAAGAATATTTAAAATAACTGATTATTAAAACCATTGTAGGACTTGGCTCCATAATGGAAAAATATGAAGATTTCTTTTTCTAAGTCTAAATAAACAAATACAAACTAATACTCCCTCTCTACCTTGGATGTTGAGGAAAAAACATGGGCCTCTTTACCTTTATGCAACCATTTTGTTTCAAACCTAATTGAAAAAAATATGTTTGAGCAGATACATATAACTACTTTTTGGAAGCTTTATTATGAATGCATTTGTTCTAATCTACCATTTTGCCATTTTGAGTTGCAAGAGGATACATACTCTGCATCTCCCACTTGATGAGGGTTTACTCTTTTTTCTTCCCCTTCCCTTCTACCCTGAACTCACTGCATATATCCAGCATAGCTCCCAGAGTGAGCTTTGTTGGTTTTTCTGAGTAGTCTTAGTCAGTTACTATGCTAGTCACATACCATACTTGCCCAAGCAATGGATTTTGGCGTTCAACTGGAGGGAGAATATGGTTTGGAAGAGTCTCCCCCTCCTCATAGTTGAATTGGCTAGTTGAGATTCACAAGCCTGAATTGCATGAAGGCGCTCTGGCTGGATAGCAGTGCAAGCTTTAAAATCTAGGTGTAGCTGTTAATCTTTTACAGAGAGAAAGAGAGAGAGGCACATAAGTCTCTGGGACTACTAGCTCAGCCAGCTGTGAGCAAAGATGTATGCTTTTCATGTACTGTACTCATGGACTGAGGGATTATTGATTTTCTTTCACAGTTGTAAAAACAGCAATTGGTGATCCTACCACACATATAGCATACACCAAGTTAGCAAGACCTTTTTCACTTTCCTATCTGTGAAAAATCCTTGTATTCTCTATCTAATATTAAGCATTTTAACTTCCCAACTAACTGTCGGTAAAGCTTCTTTCAAATAGCAATTACTTTAGTTAAGATGTAGCTATTTACATATTTTTTTTGCAGGAAAGAATATTCCAAGAAACTTATTGCATTTGACTAGTCAAAATTTTTTCCTTGCTGGCTTGCACGCAGCACTTAAATTGTTCGCACTGGTGACAGAGCAAACGCCCCTGTTCGGATTCCTTATAGCACCAAGTCATTTCTTTCTGGAGAGTAAAACCAAGGAAACTTTCTGGGAAGACTAAAAGGAAAAAAAAAAATTCGAACAAACGAACATGGAAAGCACTTACCAAGAAGACGAGAAAAAGCAATCCTATATACACTGCTGCTTAGAGCTGTAATTCCATTGACTGTAAATTGGAGAAATAACCATCTCCGTCTCCCAAGTGCTGCGTCCAGTCCACACAAAACCAACAGCAGCTGCAGCAGCCAGAGTTTGTTCGGCTTCGGATCACTCCTGCGCTGAGGAGTGAGCGAGGGAGAGAGCCTTCCAGCCTACTGCACACAGCCCACCTCCAAGTCTGAAGTTTAAAGCTGCACCTCGTAGTGGTTGAGGAACGGGGTGATGTCATAGATGGGCAGGACTTAGGCAAGCTCTTGTTCAGTGAGGTAAACTGGATAATCAGACACATAAGCTTTGCAAACGCTAGAGGGGGTGAGAGAAGCCGAAATGAGACGCTGGGCCTGCCCAAAGCAAGCGTGCCATTTGGTCTGTAGGCAGCTCTTGGGATTCTCAACATTTTCTAAAGTTTACTACTACAAGGCAGTGGTAGAGTACTTAGAAAAAAATATATAAGCATGTTAGAGGCGTATTTATAAGATTACAATAGGAAAAAAAACCCCACAGATTTCTTTTTTATTCCTAAACCATCTGTGCTGAAAAAGAGTTCAGCAAAATCAATTTATTTATTTTTTATTACTGACTTAGTTACAATCCTGTTATAACTGTGGATGAGAAAGGCCAGTAACTCCAACTGCAAATATTTATTTGACAAATGAATGGAAAGCAGGTTCAAACAAACGATTTATTTAGAAGAAACAGAATAAGACTTTGAAAAGGTTGTAAAAAAAAATACCAAAGTGCACAATCTTGTTTTGCACGTGAAGAGAAAGTTGGGGTTTTATATATGTTTTACAACATGACAGTGTGTACCAAATATGTCTACTATTTTTTCTATCTTCTTTAGGACCTGGTAGATATTAGATCATTAATATTTAAGGAGCCTCCTCTAAATAAAGAGTTTAATGGAGCATTTTACTTGCTCACGTTTGTGATGCTCTGAGCATGATTTCAGATATAAGAATCCTTTAAAACTTTCCAGGAATGGTTTTATATGGTTTAAAATTATGTAGTCTTAATTCAGATATATGAATAACCATTGACCATTGTAAGGCACAGAGATTATAAATTTTTGTGCCTACTTCATAGAATTATAGATTCTTCATTTTCAGTTGCAATTTTGTAGACTGGCTTCTACAGTTGCTTTGGGGACCTGTAAACTTTCTGCTAAGTAAGAACATAATACTTTAATGGTGGTGAGAAGAATTTTGTTTCTGTATTCATTTGGAGGGCTATTTCCTTCAATTTCTTTATTTGCTTTGTTCTTAGACATTCATGGCTTTATCCTTTGCCCTTTGGAAAGTATTCTCTGAATGTTTGTGTCTGAAGGAGTTCAGCTAATTGTTTTTTCAGGAATATATGATTATGGTCTCTTCATTTGCTTCATAGGGTTTATTTATATGCTTGTTTGATAGCTATTGGCCTTTGAAGATTCCTTTCCAAGAATGGGTGATACCAAAGCAGGAGCTGAACTCTTTCTTAGAGAGGCACTGACTCCCATTGCTTTCTTAGGCTTGTAATTTTGCAGGTCTCAGAGGACAGGCCCATCAAATCTAGGAGTTTTAGCATTCTAGCATCTACTGAAAAGCAAATTTAAACTAACTAGACATACTGAGTTTTTTTGAAAAAAGGGAGATGAGACTAACAGACAATTTCTTAAGAAAAGATGGATGGGGGCTGGGAAGGTAGCTCAGTGGTAGAGTGCTTGTCCTCATGCATGAAGCCTTGAGTTCGATTCTTCAGCACCACATAAACAATAAAAAGCCGGAAATGGCATTGTGGCTCAAGTGGTAGATCCCTAGCCTTGAGCTGAAGAGTTGAGGGACAGCACCCAGGCCCAGAGTTCAAGCCCTATGACTGACAAAAAAAAAAAAAAAAGAAGAGAAAGAGAGATGGATGCTTTTTTTTTAACTGTAAAACAGAAGCATGGAATAAATTATTTTATAAAATAATGCTTGCTAGGAGCTGTTTTCAGATGAGAGTTGGTTCTATTTAAAAAGGACATTTTTGTCTGACCAAATTCCTGTGGGTTTAGCCGTTTTTAATCAGTTTTGTTTTCATTCAGGCAGACCTTCAGCTGAAAAGAAAGATAAATGGGCAGTTTGGGTTATAGGTATGTAAAAGAAAGCATAAGGGCCCAGGAGTTAGGAGTTCTCACACTGTGTTCCCCAGGCTGTCTTTTGTTATAATACCTCACCATACCTGCTCTTGGCTTGGCTTTCTTCCTATAGGAAATAAAGTTAGCAAGAATTTACTGAATGCCAATTATACAATGTTGTTTCTTTTTTTTTCTTTTCGGTCATGGGCACCGACTTTTTTTTTTTTTTTTGGCAATACTGAGGTTTTTGAAGGCATACTTGCTAGGTCTGTGTTCTACCCCTTTTAATTTTTATTTATTTATTTGCCAGTTGAGGGGCTTGAACTCTGGACCTGGGCCTGGACAATGTGCCTCAGCTTTTCAGCTCAAGGCTAGCTAGCACTCTACCACTTGAGCCACAGCGCTACTTCTGCTTTTCTGGTAGTTTCTTGAAGATAAGTCTCAGGGACTTTCCTTCCTGGGCTGGCTTTGAACCTTGATTCTCAGATCTCAACCTTTTGAGTAGCTAGGATTATAGGTGAGAGCCACCAGCGCCCAGCTGTTCTACCGCTTTTAAACAATAACTCTGTTTTAGTTTTTGCTTGCTTGTTTTTGTTTTTGCTTTTCATTTTTCTCAGACTCTGACTCCCAGCTAAGCCCCTTACTTAGGAGATAGCATTGCAGATGTGCACCACCTCACCCAGATTATTTATCACAAAAGATAAGGGTCTTTTTAAACTTTTTTGTTCAGGTTGGCCTCAAACAGCAATCCCTGTCATCTTTACCTCCCATTTGTCTGGGATTACTGGTCTGTACTACCACACCCAGCCTTGGAGGGAAATTCTTACTAGATACTCCTCAGTCCAAGATATGTGTACTTCTACTTGCATTTTACTTTTTTTTTTTTTTTTTAATTTCTTGCTCTTATCATCACCTAAAATTCTGCTGGTGAGGAGGTGAGTTTATAGTAATATGTGCTCATTTACAATAGTGCATATCACTACTCGAATTGTTAAGGGGTACCATGACTTACTTCAGATTGCTTTCCTACTGTTTCCTAAAGGAGACTGGTTTCAATAAAAGCTGGCTATCCTTGTTGCAGGTCAAGGGAGGCTGGCAGTTTTCAGCAGAGTCCACTGCTGTAGGCTGTGATGGGATGGCAGGGACTGGATTCTCCCAGCAGCCCAGGTATCAGCTGAGAGTGGAGGAAATAATATAGTCTGAAGCTTAAGTGCATGGAATTCAGGATCTTGCATATCTAGTCTATATTTTGGCTTGCCACATGACTATAGACAAATTATTTAATGTTTCTGAGTTTATTATCTCAGTGCATGACTCATAGTCAGTGACTGATAATATAGTATCTGCATTATTATGATGTGGATTTCTGAAGTCTAGAAAAAGGGGCATTAAGAATTGGGAGAAGAAAGCATAAAGAGAGAGAGCCCATAAAAGATTTTGCACACTTTTCAAATTTCCCTTTGAAGTAGTTTTGTAGCCAGGAAATGGGAATGGAGTGGAGGGATAGGAAAATTTCTTATTGATTTCCTTTTCCTGTTGTCTTCATGCACTTCATGGCCTCCTGATCTAGGATTGAACATTTAGTTGAGTCCTGGTTGGCATTTTGGGTTAAAAAGGTACTTATTGTTATTTTCCATTTTGTAGGCTAGCCTGTGAACCTACCATTGTATATTAGAAAATACGTATCAGACTGAAAACAGCTAGCATGGAAAGAGTAACTCCAACACATCAGAGTTTCAAACCCTGAGATTATCAAAATGTGTCATATCAAATAACTTTATGTTTTTCTGTTTTGTGAAGAGATAAGAAATGTTCTCTTGGGAAGAACAAGGAAAATTGGTTTTGGAAACAACAGGTTTTCTAGGCTTTGCTATTTTCTTCTTTTTTAAGGCAAAAAATATGCAACAACACATACAAACAACAGCAAAATTTAAAAAGCAAATAAAAAACCATACCCTCCCCCACACACAACTCCCAGATCTCTTTTAGTAAGTAGTGCTCATGTTAGTCAGTATAATACATAATTATTTCATGGGACAATTTAATCCATATTTTACTCCCTGTCTGTATTTAAGGTATGTCATTCATTCATTCTAAAAAAAAATTAGTAGGAGTAGATGAGCTCCAAACCACATCCAACTGTGCTGTTTTTGGACTTAATCTTAGAACATATTAAAGTTCTTTTAAGACTTAGAATCAGGGGCTGGGAAGGTGGCTCAGTGGTAGTGTGCTTGCCTTTCATGCATGAAGCCCTGGGTTCAATTCCTCAGCACCACATAAGCAGAAAAAGCCAGAAGTGGTGCTGTGGCTCAAATGGTAGAGCACTAGCCTTGAGCTGAAGAGCTGAGGGACAGTGGCCACGCCTAGAATTCAGGCCCCATGACTGACCAAAAAAAAAAAAAAAAAAGTCTATGAAATACTTGCTGCCAATAAACTACTAAAATACTAAATAAACAAATAAATAATAAGTATTTAAAAAAAAGACTTAGAATCATTCTTGATGACTTCCTGTCCCTTGAACAGTATTTATGAGAATAAAATCTTCAAAGTTGTATAGAAAAAACAGCAGGCTTTTGGTATATTTAATATATTGGGCTCTTATCTGCTGAGAATCTTTTGGGTACAAATGATTGAAAGGTGAATCCTTACTGGCTAATCAGTAATTGGAATTGATATCTCATGTAACTGAAAGGTTCACATGACAGTATGGCTTCAGGTAACGCCTGAGACAGTGATTTACAGTATGTTAGTGAGAACAGCTTTTCCTGTGGCAGTGGGCTTTGCAAGATGGACTTGTGGCAACCTATGGCTGCCTTCTGAGGTAGTGGTGAGCAGATCACATTCCCATAATGCAGTGAACAGGATACTCCTGCGGGGAAGCTAAAGGTCACTCTCATTTGTTTAAACTTGATAACTTGCTCATTCCTAAAGCAATTATATGAGGGTACAGCAATATACTGTTTATCTTAAGCCCTCTGCAGAAGATGTGCAACAGGTCAACCCTACTCAAACACATGACCTGGCCCCACAAAAATGGGCTTCTGTTATTTATATGTATGTAT